CATACCACAGGGATACACTTTTAAAATAAAGCTGATTGGTAAATAATAGGATTTAGATTGGGATATGCTCACTTTAGATCGTGAAACCTGAAGTGAGAAGAATTACATTTGATCAGGAAGACTGCTAGATACCATTAAAGCACTTTAAGCATATGCTTGATAAGCAGGGAAATTAACCTTGTAGCAGCCTTTTGGATGGATCATTGATTTGGGAACATGGTGGAGAAAAGGATATGCTTTGATGTTTGCAAGGTCCCCCAAATAGACTACACCTCTGCCAAACAGACCTGTCCCAGGTGCTGCTGAGGTTCTAAGCCCCAGGGTGTTGCTGCAGAGTCTGAGGTCTTCAGGAGCTAGGTTCAGCCTCTTAGGCTGGGCACAAAATGCTCCTGTGATACAGCATTACCGGCTCGGACTTTTTAAGAGAAGAGAAAATGAAGGAAGCACCACAGGAATAGGGGTTCCTGCGATCAGCAGCCTGTAGGGTCTGGCCTGCTCCTCTCACACGGCCTCCGAGGAAAGCTGCTTTCATCTAATGGGAAAAGCCTCATGTTTGTTTGCATTTGTTTTCTCATGTTTAAATGATTTGGGGAGCTTAAAAATACTTTTCTTTTTTTCCTTTCAGGCACATAGCAGTATTTCCCTGCAAGATGAAAATCCTCCCTCAGTATATTTTCAATTCTCGAGATCCAATAGTGATGGGGGTGACTGTGGAAGCAGGTCAGGTGAAACAGGGGACACCCATGTGTGTACCAAGCAAAAATGTAAGTTCCAGTTATACTTAACATTTTGGGGGTTATTTCTTAAAGCAGTAAACGGGGGCCCAGGAGTGGCGGCAGCACAGCTTTGTGCCTGCAGTTCACAGTTCTGTGCAGCACATTTCACATGGTGCCTCCCTCTTAGCAAATGTTTACGTGTCCTTACCTCAGCAGGAAGAGTGTGGTGGAAACAAAACTTTTAAAACAAGCGGTGCTTGTCATCCTCTGTTATATGTCCCTCATTATTGGTAAATAATGTGTTCCTTAGTCAGTGCTGATTCTTAGCACCTGACCTCAGTGCTTCCTTTAGGTTGCAAGATAGTTATTTTGTTTAATTTCGAAAAGATTCAAGCCTACTATAATGAAAACCCATATACATTTCCTCCAGATCAGCACACGTAAGACAAATTAACATTACTTCACCAATATCCTGTCACTTGCAGTCCTGGTCTGCCTTTCACCAGTTGCCCCAAAGGTATCTGTAGTAACTTCATCCGACCTGGCCTGGGGCCCCTCTAGGTGCACTGCATTGGGCTTTACGTTAGTGCCTCAGTCACAGCACTCTCTCATCCGTTTTGAAGAGTCAGCCCAGTTGTTTTACAAATGATCCCTCCACTTGGTGTGTTTCCTCCTGACAATGTGGGTGGAACCTACACAGGTGCTGTGTGTGCTTTTCCATCACATGCTGGCGATGCCCACTCTGACTCCCTGGGAAGGTGCCAGCTCCTAAACAGCTCCCTTAGAAAGAGAAATCTTACCCCTTTATAATTTAGTAATTACTAAGTAATGTCTGGGGAACTTGGAGTTCCCATGAACATCCTGTGTCTCAACAACCTGTATACCAATGGCTTTCATACTTACAGGTAATTCTTGCCTAAGTGAATTATTACATACATGGTTACTTGGAGTTCCCATGAACATCCTGTGTCTCAACAACCTTTATACCAATGGCTTTCATACTTACAGGTAATTCTTGCCTAAGTGAATTATTACATACATGGTTGCAAAATTGTGATTTCCCTCTCCTCCCCACTTCTGTAAAGAACCTTCTTCCCATTGATCTTTTTATTCAGTATCCCATAGACTGTGTTGTGAAGTGTTATAATCTATTACCATGATTCTTTTTGATACTCAAATTATCCCATTTGGCCAGTAGGAGCCCATTCAAGCTGGCACCTATGTCCCTGCCACATAGCACTTTGAGCATTTTCTTCCTTTTTGGTGCACTAAGATGCTCCAGGCTCATCTAGTACTTTCCTTGCCCCAGACCTGGTTCTTTAGAAAATGGCACTTAGAAATTGTCATTGTTTCTATACCATATCAGTGGGCTGAGCTAGGGCTTTTTTTTTTTTTTTTTTTTTTTTTTTTGCAGTACTTATTTTGTGTGGTTTTGGCCTCCCAAACCAAACCCAGCTCTCCCTGTTTTCACTCTTACTCTCCTGTCTTTCTCCACAAGGCAAGCAGGGTTTGTTTTTCCCACAAATTCCAAGATCATTTCACGTATCTGCTCACAACTTGTCATCCTTAACCTGCATCATGTGTCCTTGGCTACCTTTTCGACTTTGTCCTCACGGACTGCTTCAGGTAATTCGTGATTCAGAACCTTTGTGCCTGCTGTTCTCTCCTTTTAGGGTGCCTGTCACATGAAAGGGTAGAGCAGAAATAGAAACGACATTGGGTCAGTTGAGCACTTGTAAAGTTTCACAAAGCACATCAGGAATCTCCTTTCATCCTTACAAAGCATCTTGCGGATGGCATAGGGTATGCAGTGGTGCCAGCCCTAGTTTGCCAATGAGAAAATTATGCTGTGGAGACCTTATGTGATAAATGCAGGATCATACTGCTTTTAAAATGTGCTTTTAAATGTGGCGTTTAAAATGTGCTCTTTTGCTCCAGTTCTTATTTCAGCTGTGTAGTCATGGCGCCTGTGACGGGCATGAATTCCTCTACATGCATTGTATTTTCTGTTCTTATTTCAGTTTGTTGACATTGGAATAGTAACGAGTATTGAAATAAACCATAAACAAGTGGATGTTGCAAAGAAAGGACAAGAGGTCTGTGTCAAAATAGAACCTATCCCTGGTGAATCTCCCAAAATGTTTGGAAGACATTTTGAAGCTACAGATATTCTTGTCAGTAAGGTAAGTATTTCAGCAAAAGTGGCACATTTAATTAACGGGGAGTCAACTCTTTCCTGGTTACCTGTATTCAGTAGCTCTGAGCGCTTAAGTTTGAACTTGGAGAATCTGATGGGACTGGTTCCTTCACTAGGGCTTGATTGTAGTAGGGCCTTGTCTTTGTTGAGGAAGGTGCCCCCGAGTAGAGCAGCATAGCAGGGAATGCCAGGACTTCAAGATGCCCTTCCGCCTGACTCGCCTAACAGATGTGGTGCTGGGCTTCTGTTCCCTTAGGCAGGCAAGCACTGCTCTTATTTCTGCTTATGCTTTCTTCATAATGAACAGCATCTGGGCCACACGCTTTCTTTGGCATTTGTTACCTTCTGTTGACCCTGTTTATGCCTCGGGCATTGCAGATCAGCCGGCAGTCCATCGATGCACTCAAAGACTGGTTCAGAGATGAAATGCAGAAGAGTGACTGGCAGCTTATTGTGGAGCTGAAGAAAGTATTTGAAATCATCTAATTTTTCCACACGGTGCAGGAATAAATGCAATATTATGTTGTAATATCACCAACAAAAAACAAGACAAAGAATGGAACTGGACACTGATGGACTTAAGTATGGAAGGAAAAAAATAGGTGTATAAAATGTTTTCCATGAGAAACCAAGAAACTTACACTGGTTTGACAGTGGTCAATTACATGTCCCTACAGTTCCAACGTGCCTGTTCACTCACCCTTCCTTTTCCCACCCTTCTCTACTTGGCTGCTGTTTTAAAGTTTGCCCTTCCCCAAATTTGGATTTTTATTACAGATCTAAAGCTCTTTCAATTTTATACTGATTAAATCAGTACTGCAGTATTTGATTAACCAAGCTTCTGCAGATTTTGTGATTCTTGGGACTTTTTTGATGTAAAAATTATTTATGCATATTCTTCCCACAGTGATATTTCCAGCATTCTTCTGCCATATGTCCTTAGGAATTTTTTAAAAGAGAAAATTAGGCATTCTGATATTTTATCTGCTTTGTGTGAAACCACGGTGTAAAGCATAGCTGGCTGCTTTTTACTGCTTGTATAGTCATGAGAGTCCATTGTAATCATCCCTTAGGAATTTTTTAAAATAGAAAATTAGTTAGGCATTCTGATATTTTATCTGCTTTGTGTGAAACCACAGTGTAAAGCATAGCTGGCTGCTTTTTACTGCTTGTATAGTCATGAGAGTCCATTGTAATCATCACAGTTCCAAACTTCCAATAAAGAAAAAACAGACAACAACCAGTGAGCTCTGTTAGGCTTCCATGTTAGTGTAGCTTCTCTCCCATGAGTCATCCTCTTCAGAATAAGAATTATTTTATCAGCTGTCATACCTTGTACGCTAGCACATGGTAGTAGAAGTGATTTTTATATATTACTCTTGGTCTACTCTGTTCTAGAAAATCCTGCCACGCATACATTTTCTGATGAGAGTAGCAGCAATAATAGGAAACTGATTAACTGTATTTGGGCTTAAGTGCTTTTCCTGATGAATGCGGGGAGTGGGTCCAAGTGAACAGATACTCCTTTCCCCAAATTAAGAAACCTGTTAGATCTGTTATCAGAATTTCACACTATTTATACACTGTTGAAGTCTACATGGGGTGTGTGTTTGAGGAAAAAGTTCCAAGTATTCACTAGCATAGGATTATAAATTATATTTTTATTTTTAAAAAGTGTTATGGTATACATACAGCATAGAAAAATATTTTATGTATGTCTGAAAATCTGTACGAAAGTTTCTGAAGGGCCAGTAGAGACACCACCACCTCTAAACTATCTATCTAAGATATAATTTTCCCAGGAAAAACTTAACCTTCAGGTGGGTGTGTTCTAGTTCAAAATATGTAAATTTCTCCACATGGAGGAAGTAAAGATTTTCATAATCATGCTTGGAGATAAGATGGTTTAGAAGCTTTACCCTTTCTTGGAACAAGTAGAATCCCGGTCTGGGACCTCTCAGGAATTTCAAAGCTTTTAGCACGGAGCCTGTAACAGTCTGGCCTGGACGTTTTTCAGTCTTTAGGGTAATAAACAGTAGTTGCTTCCTAGAGTTGAGTTTTTAAGGATTCACAAAAAGGAGCCTGTACAAAATATACATATAGTTCTTTATTAAACAACTGTAAACACTTCACTGTAAAAATCCATAAAACTTTATAAACAAACATTTGTAAATAGAATCTATGCTACAGTAAAAGAATTAACACAGTTATTTACATGCAATACTGACAAATTTGGCACTCTTCGAAAAGAAATGTACAAAACACTTGCTTAAAAAGAAATTTAAAATTATAAAAACTCAGAGCATTACTATCATGCACTTTGCAAATACCTCACAAGCACTTATGGCACAGCTAGCGGAGAGCACCAGGCTCCCTGGTAATATTTATGTAACTTTTAATGTGCTTCCGTAAGTTTGTTGTAAAACCACCTGAACATTGTCAAGAATAAAGTCAAACGCCATATTCCAAACAGATTCCACCGATTGTTGCATCAACCTGAAAGGTGGGGGAAGAAGAAATATCGTTAGGAAAGAGCCCTAAGACTAATTCCTCCTTCTGGAATCAGCTTAACCTATCTTCAGGGCTGTATACTTTTTATATATAAAAATTGACTATGGCCAAAAAAAAAAAAAAAAAGCTAGAACACTCAAAAGTAATTCCTGTGGTTTAAATCATATACTACATAAACCTCGAGGGCAACAATCTCATTTTGACCTTATTACTGAGTCAGCAGTACGGCATTTCTTTCTCCAGTATTCAAACTAAAGGGCATCGCTTTTTCATTAACCCTAGAGAACAGTTTGTGAGAAAATTTAAAACTTGCTCAGTACAACCTCAACCATTGTGACATGTCATTTTTTTTTCCCTTCGATAAAAATACTGAATTACCTTTTCATGTATTTTATAACTAGATCCAGTTTTTCCAAATCTTTTTCCTCTATTAGATCAGTACAGTATTTCACAACTTGCAGAATGTCTTCTTCCATTGGATCTAAGGAGGGGAAAAACCTCAAATGAGGGCCAATGTATTTTTTGAAAGAGAAAAGGCAGAGGTCTGTAGGGATAAAGGAAAACTGCATTTCTACAACTATATCACTAAACTTACAGCTATCAAAAGAATGGGCTACAGTAAGGAACTTTTCAAAGCAAGCCCCAGAATTTAAAAGATTATGGGTAGAGCTGGTTTGAGCTTATTAGAGTTAGAAAAATGAGTTTTAATGTTCATAGTTTAGTTGTTCACATTCTGAAGTCACAAGATCACTACATCCCAGTCTTGGGCCACCGAACACAAGATAAGCCAACCTGAAATAGTAGTGATCCATTCTTTGAGCAAGGTCTTCACATCACTGAACTCAACAGCACCAGCTAGGTTGGGTGCTGGGGGTCTAACACAGCCAGATGCATCAGGCTGCAGACTGGGAAGGCCTGGCACACCGGAGGTGGAGGCAGAGTGTTCTTCCTGTTAAGAAAACAAGGACAAAAGTGCTATATTTACACATCAAGTACAGTAATATCTGATAAAGGCCGAAGTTTAAAAAGCATTTAAAAAAATTACCAGGGGCTTCTCAGCAGCAGCACGTCCTTCATGTTTTAGAAACCCGTCGATTAATTTCTGGGGACTCCCACAGGCCCCTGGCAGAGTTTTCGCAGGACTGTTAAGTAGCTTGTTTTTCAGAGGGCTCTGAATCTTTTTGGGGGAACTGATGGGGTTTTTTTTCTTGCTTTTTTTCTTATCTTTCACTGCTGCTGGCTTTAGCTGAAGTAAAGGATTCTTTGGCACTAAAAGATGATGAATATATAAGATCTTCAACAAAATGAGTCTCAATAGTGCCATGGGTTCTCTTTCCTCCCAAATACAATAGGCCCCTTCACCTGGCCCCCACCACATGCACCCTACCCCGCACCTCCTGCCAAGAGTGGGAGGTGGCAAATGGGGCAATGGCTGAAAGTGCAGGTGCCACAATTCCTTCTGCCTCTTCTGCCACTCACTAATTTGTCCTTGGACATGGTGCTTAGTATAATGGGTGATCATAAGAATTAAATGAAAATTCAGCTGGCGAAGTACTTAGCATAGTACCTGCTACACTGTAGGCTCAATAAATGTTTAATAGAAAATGTGGGTTTCATTGTATGTGATGCATGTCCAGAAACCTTCGGATTTTGTTTTGAACCTATATCCTTTCTGTGTCAGTCTCTAGAGGACAACTAGCTTGACAAGTATTCAAAAGAATTTTGGTAATATCTGATTCAGATTCTTTTTTTAAGTAAACAATGGTGTGTTTAAGTCAAGAAAGTTTACAGAAGTAAATCCCACTAGGCCCATGACAACACTTACCCAATTTGTACACTTCACTCCAGACATTCCTATTCAGATTCTTTTTTTAAGTAAACAATGGTGTGTTTAAGTCAAGAAAGTTTACAGACGTAAATCCCACTAGGCCCATGACAACACTTACCCAATTTGTACACTTCACTCCAGACATTCCCCTCATGTGAAGAGCTCTTAACATGACTCACAGCTTAGACTTTGGCCATTAGATACTACAATAATTACATATGAAAGCAATTTCATTTCTCTTCATTTTTGTTACATGCCACTTCCAGGCTTACCAGATGTGCTGGCTGGCTGCCGGTGAGTGCTGTTCTCTCCCTGCCTTTGTCTTTGATCATATGCTGCTTTCAGCTCCTTCTGAAGCTCAGCAGGAAGGGCAGCAAACACCTCAGGGTCCACCTAGTGGAAAAAAGGTCAAAATGAAACCTGAGTTAATTCTAAATGGTAGCTTTGTTTCAAATCATACTTATCTGTATGAATTCTCAGTAGGTCCTCAATCTTCAAAATGTTCAGGGTAAAGTTAGCATACTGACTCACAGGGAAAAATACTGGTAGAAAATGGGCAGCAAAACAAGAAAATAGCGACTCAGGTTGTTACTGTCCCTGTGTATGATTACATGTCTCCACCCTTTTGCACTGAAGTGTGGCCCAGTGATCTGCCAATGAAACAGGAGCAGAAGGTGTTCCTTTCCTACTTTTGGACAGAAGCTTTAAGTACCCACACACCACACCCTCCCCTCTTCTCTACCTCTGTCACCAAGCTCAGCTGCTCCAGGGAGAGGCTGCTCTGTCAGTCTGCATGTCCTGCAGATGAGCTGGAGGACAGCCAACCCGTCCTCCCACCGTCCCCCTCAACAGACATGGGGTTAGCTACTGAGAACCACGGTGTAGAGGAGAAGGGATGAGGTATGCCCTGACATGGAGTAGGAAGGGGGAGAATACTGAATGGCAGGAAGTGCCTCAGTTTACCTTACCTGTGAAAATGCTGGAAGGGCTATTACACTTATTCCTGTGTCACTGTTAGGTTCCTGAGTTTCTGGTATCTGCAACAAAACTGTCCCAACTGGTTGTGGCAAAATTCCGGTATTACAGCCATTTACGGGTTCTTTCTTTCTGTCACCATGTGGGTCTCCTTGCTGAATAGCACGAACTTGCTCTACTTGTTCCCGGAGATCAGGTGGAAGTGCTTCTAAAACGGACTGATCGAGCTATAAAATACCAAACACCTGAAGGTAAAGCATGCTCAGAGATGACGTGTTTGGGGGAGTAAATGTACCACTTTAATTTGAACATCTTGGAGAATGAACATAAGGTTCAGACCTAGGAAAGCCACCACTCCCAAACCAGCACAGTTTTAGAATGTCTTGATCTTTTGCCATTCAAGCCTGCGTAACGTGTGGAGTCTGGAAATGACAAGTTTTTACTACTGACCATGACTACATGATCAGGTAAGTCCAAATATTCTAATGGAATGTCCCTGCAGACAAGTAGTGCCTTTTTTCAAGCTCAAATCTTAGATCCCACCCATGGGCAAGGGCCAGTGCCTAAGATATGTTAAATTTCTGGGATAGGTAACAGAGTCCTGGGTCAGAAGTTTACCTTTCAGATGGAAAGACTGCCCCCAAATACAAATAATTCTCCTGGTTTGATAGCAGCAAGCTGGAAGAAAGGATTTCCAGAAGCTCACTTTTCTCCAGCTTGCAGACCAGAATCCCTTGCTCCTTTGGCCAGGTCCTCCCTCTGCCAATCCGTGCACATCCAGCCCTTTGGAAACATAGAGGCAGTCTTCAAAAAGTTGATGGAAAGATTCGTATCATCTTTTAATTCTATTTTTCCACAAACTTTCTGAAGTGCGCTCGTACAATTCCATAAACTGGGTAGGCCAATCTTATCCCGCCAGGAGCAATTATTTTTGGAACTCTGTCACCAGCAACCGAGATCCAATGTAAGCATATCAGAATTTCACCTTTCCCTACTCCTACAGCCAGCATTTACATCTCCTTCAGCTTCCTTCCACGTAGGGGAACACAGGGCCACAAAAAACCTTTCCCAATAAAGCTTAAAGTGCTATCTTATTTTCAAGGAGCAAAGGATGCCAAAAGTATAACGTTTACAGCCCACACAAACAATTAATAGCTTAGGTTATGAAAATCATTCACTCTACTGAGAAAACTATTTGCGAATGCTGCAAAACCCTTTGACATAAAGTCTCTACTTTCTACTGATCACCAAAGCTGCTTTATTGAACAGACTAAGTCCACATGATTACCATGGTCATGGACAGAAGCAGTTAACAGAAGGACTCCCTTTCAACCATGATTTACAACTTGCAAGAGTTGCACATCTTTGCAAAAGCACTATTTTTCACCTAACCCAATTACTGCTCATTTAGAATTCAGCAATGTTCTGATTCACCCTAACAAGCGGCCCTTTCCTGGTTACATTTAAGAAATGAAAGATTTCATTTTTCATTTGTAAGCTACCTTTGTACTTATATTTAGGAGTATAAAAAATATACCTGGGAAGGTGACGGGACCTCTATACTCAGGTTAAGTCTTGATTGTACACTGACAGGAGAGTGCAGACCATTCTGTTTCCCTGAAGACTCAGCTTTGCTAGTATCAGGACTGATACTTGCTGGCAGATGTGTAGAAAAGGTGCAAGTTCTAGGGGCAGATGATATTTCTAGATCCATAGCAGCCAGAAATACTACGAGTACAAAAAACACATAAAATAGCCTCTTCAGATTATCGGGGTGGTGGTGGGGGGGGACACTTTAATCCCTGACTGTTTTCCCTCCATCCATTGCAAATAAAACTCCTTTATTATTAGATCCATCATAATTAAGAATGTAAATCTGTTTCTTAAAAAAAATCACACAGAACCATGCCAATTAAAAAATTTACTGCCTTTCAAGGGCATAAGGAATAGCAAAATAAGAACCACGCTGATGACCACCAACCTTCCGCATGCTCCTCTTCTATGGATTTCTTAGTTTTCTGAACTTGGAAGAGATCGCGAACAGAGTGTGACCCAGCAGGAAAGTGGCTTGACTGAACTGATGGGCAATTGGAACACGTGGAAAGTTTCAAATTAGTTGGAACCAGCTGATTCACTTGAATCCCAACCTAGAACCAGAATAAGGATACATTTCTTAAGAAACTGGAGTGAAAATATGAATTCAATTAAGTAAAATTCTCAGCTAATACATTTTTGTTATCTTTTGGATCTCATTTCAAGAATAAAAGGATAAATGAAAGTACTCAAGCAGCCTTCTATAATGATTTATTACAAAAACTGCTTCTAGACTAGTTAGTGAGCAGTAACTCATCTTAATCTTAGGAGTATTCAATTGTACTCAAATATACTGTCAGAAAATCCAAGTAAGTGGAATACTGTATTCCACCGATGCTCTCTAATCAACTAAGGTTTGAAAATAGGATTTAAAACAAAAAAACAGCGGACAGCCTACTTTGTATCAACTAAGGTTTGAAAATAGGATTTAAAACAAAAAAACAGCGGACAGCCTACTTTGTAACTTTATTTCACTTTTCTTTTTTAAAATGAAATATTCCACGATAAATAAACAAACAAATAAAATGAAGTACTTTTCAAATAAAGAACTGGGGACGAGCAGCTGGCACACTGCAGTTCACTGCCTGCCCCCCCAAAAAACTTTATTATGACAGTATTTCAGGGAGAAGTTTCAATAATGTTTGGGTTAGTGACTTTAATCCTTCAACAAACCACACAGTAAGCCAAAACAACAAAAACTACCCTTCTCTCGTGTGTGCACACACACAACTAAACCTACAAAGTTTAATCTTCAACTAAGAAAAAGAAATCTGGGCTGGCCAGTTACGTCAGTTGGTTAGTGTGGTGTTAACAGCAAGGTCAAGGGTTCAGATCCCCAGACCTGCCAGCCACCAAAAACCACCACCACAAGAAGAAATCTAAGGTTTTGGCATTTTGATGGCATCTTTCATGTGTCTGTTATTTCTCTCTAGATAATCATACTACAAAGAGTAGATTTCTGATTAAAAAGAACCTTAAAGCTACAAGATTTATAGATTCACATTCCTCACAGCCCCATCTAGTTCTGAGAACAGGAAGAACAAGATAATAAATGTAAAATTAGCCCTCTGTTAATTAAAAGAAAGGTGCTATAAAAATCTGAGATATAAAATTATTATTCTAGGCAGAAAACAAAGAGCTTTCATAACAAATCTGACTCTTCTCTGAAAACTAAGGAGATGAGACTGGGTAAGAAAGTCAGATTTCTTGTTTCTCTTCTTGAATTATATCAAGGGCGCTGAAGACCTGCTTATAAGCCCTCCACACCCCACCATGACCATTCTCAGACCAATCCCCAAATGAGAAAAACAGTAAAGAAAGAATTTCAAAATGTTACACACTTACCCCTCTCATATCCGATATATTTAGTTTCATTGCATGAAACATGTTTAGTGTAGCCTTTCCAATTACTTTTGCACTATCAGTTGCCTGGTCAAGAGTTACAGTCCTGTAAGTGATAGAATTACTTTTTTAAAGAAACAAAAACTACATTCCTGATGTATTCACTAATACCTCTAAGTTCACTAGTATGGATCTGTTTAAAGAGTTACAGAAAAGTTGTAAATAATTACAAAAAAGTTCATAAAAATGAATGAGATAGTCTCCCTTCAAGGAAGACAGTAATACCAAATAATTACATTGCCAGCAAGGTGGAAAGAAAAATTAAATAGTACATTGGGACTTCAAGGTAAAAACTCTAATGGAGACCTGGCCAACTAAAAATAAGTTGAAATTTAGAAAAAGACAGACTTTAGTTAAAATGCATATACAAATATATACATATTCTGCAACTAAAGCATGACTGTATGGGAAGTGTAATGTTTTAGATTCTAATAGAATCCAAGATTATCTACGTTGAGGTATAGTTAATATTCTGACGAGAAGGACGAGTTCTCTGCCTTTTTTTTCTTTTTTTGCAGCTGGCTGGTTGGGGGATCCGAACTCATGACCTTGTTTGTTATAAGGCTGTGCCTAATTATTTTGGATCTTGACCCTCCTTTTGTTATTTTTAAAAGTAAAGCCACTGAATAATCTCAACATTTGAATATGCTCATTGTCATTACAATTCCACTTTCTCTAAGAGGCTCTATAAATAGATCAAAAAATGAGTGAACAACTTTGACAAAGGAAATATGGTGGTAGCCTATCTAAAACCCAGAAAGACCAGGCTATGTGATTCTTAGATTTTTTGTGTGTGCACAAGGATTGAGCAATTTTTAGATCTTTAAGAACTCTTGCAGGAGGACCAGAGGATGCAATTTTTAGATTGAGCAATCTTTAGAACTCTTGCAGGAGGACCAGAGGATCCACCAGCATTATGAATTGCCAAAAATGTGCTGCACTCACCCACCATCTCCTTCAGAGCCTTTTGGGCTTCTCTGGTATGAGCAGCGTGTCCCATTGCAAACAGAGAATTATAACTCGATTCTTTAAGAACTCTTGCAGGAGGACCAGAGGATCCACCAGCATTATGAATTGCCAAAAATGTGCTGCACTCACCCACCATCTCCTTCAGAGCCCTTTTGGGCTTCTCTGGTATGAGCAGCGTGTCCCATTGCAAACAGAGAATTATAACTCGATAACAGATTAATAGATTACTACCAGTTCTCTTTCCAAGGGAAAATTATTTAATTTTTTGGATAATCCTTTCCATGTATCTCGAACAAATAAAAGTTCCAGGCCTTAAAACAACAGATTATATTCCTAGAAAAGGCATTATAATTTGGATCTGGTTTCCCACAGAAACTGTATTTAAAAAGATAATTATATTCCTGATTAACACTATATTTAAGTACTACTTGAAATATGTGTACATCATATTTATTAAAGTAGGTAAATATAACAGTTCAAGATAAGTCAATTGCATAAAAATGTATTTTATAAATTATGTTGTTTAATGTGTAATTTATCATCCCTGTTTTCATGAACAAATGCATTCGTGGTAAACTTGGGAGTTTCGTGTTTGAAAATAGTCATCTCATGACTTAGCAATATCACCATGTACATGAATGTAATGTATATGGTTGGTATGAGCTTACCTTTAATTAAACTATGTAAGTCTGAATTACTATACTGAAATTTCCCTCAGGGATAAAGTTCCACCAAGTCCACGAACCCTAACAGTCCCCCTGGTCTGCAGGTCTGCAGCCATTTCCTTTCTTCCTGTCCGTGCACCAAAGTTAATAGCCTGAAGACCCCAGGGAGAGGCTGCCAAAGCTCAGGATTCCCCAACAGGCTAACCTCCGTGTGCATGTGACTGGCCGAAGCTGAGTGTGGTAACCTAAGTCCAATGGCCTTGGGCTGAGGCCTGGTTCTTCAGAATGTCAAAAAACACCAGAATGTACAGGTCTTTATTCAGACTCTTCCATGGTTTTATCTTCTACTAATTATGATAACCAAAAATGAAACAATTACCAGTATTCTTTTAAAAATATGCTTACCTAGTAATATTATCACAAATTCCATGGCCTCCAAATTTTGAAGTTTCTATAGGGGCCCCTGGCTTTCGTACCATGATTTTGAGAGTCAGGCGTTTACCCTTCATGCCAGCAGCTTCAAGTCGTCTTTGAATTTCTTCTGAAAGACTCAGAAGAAAACCTTCTGCCTCTTTTGGCTACAGAAGGACAAACGTGGAAAAACTTCCATATTATTTTCCTATGTACCTAATAAGTCTTCTCAAGTATTTTATCTTTTAATGTTAAACATGTCATTTGCTATCCTGCTAAGCATTTATTAAAAATAAACATTCTATATACCCTTAAATATATACTAAATAAAAATACCCATCTTCCCAACAAAGCAAAAGTAATGAGTACTTAAAAGGAATTTTTCCTTTCTTATTTTTCTACGCCATTGTTAACCTGTTGAAATTCTTTTATATTTATGTCCTTATGAAGCTAATGTCTGTGAATTAAATGTGCTCTGTGGTGTTTGCTAACATAAATTCCAAAGACATAACCCAATCCAAATACGTATTCTGAAGGAAAAGGAAAACTACCCAACCATCTGTTCCAGAAGAATTAATAATAAGGAGCTAGCTGAAACTTAGCACTTTTTTTTTTTTTGTCCTTTTTGAGACCGGCCGCATCGCGCTCAGACAGTGAGCGCACCGGTCATCCCTATATAGGATCCGAACCTGCGGCGGGAGCGCTGCTGCGCTCCCAGCGCCACACTCTCCCGAGTGCGCCACGGGCTCGGCCCTGAAACTTACTTTTAATGACAGCTTAAAAAGTATTTCAACGCTAAAAATATTTTTTTTCTTCTGGAGATCAGAATAATTATAATCTCAAGTTCCCTAAGAACTTACTCTAAAAGCATAATTTTTTAGTATCTTTCCCCAAGATCTGAGTTCCCTCAGCCTTATCTGGGGCTCTACTTTACCAGCATTGCCTCCAAACACTTTCTTGAAACTCTGGAAATACCAACAGTCATAAGACTTAATTTCAAGCATCAAGAGTTTTATGGTTTAGTTGGGGAAATAGGACTATGTAAAAATAAAAGGAATATAAGGTAAAATCTGTGAAGTGATAAGTACCTGGGTAAACCTTATTCCATAGTTGATCTCAGCTGAAACCGATTTTCTTTCCTTTTCAGTTCTAACTGGTCTATCATCCAAACCACGGCAGAACCTATAAAGCATCTGACCTGTTTTGGGACCAAATTCTTTTTGGAGTTTTGCCATGGTCATATACTGCAAGTCTCCACAAGTTTTAATTCCTAAAGATGTCAACTTAGATTCCATTGAACGTCCAACTCCTAGAAAAGGGAATATATATAGTTATTTAACTATGAAGAATAAACTATTAACAATTTTAGTAATATGAAATAACCATTATGCACAAAACTAGAATAATCTCCTTTAAAATCTCTGTGACATAAGTGAAGCATCTAATATACTGAAAAGGTTTTTACTGTAAAATCATGCTAGTATTGCTATTTCTAGAAATTCCACAAATACGGATGACTAAAGTTATCCAAAAAATATGATTTTTATTTATTTGTGAATAATGTCAAGATTTCTATCTTACAAAATCAACTAATGAAGTAATAGTCTCCTGTTTATACGAGTATATAGTATGATTTACAGACATACCAACAGTCATAGAATGCTAGGGACTCTACTATGATTTCGGTGACCACCAATTTCACAATGGTTTTAGCCACATTTTCTTTGAATGGGAAATGGAACAAGAAATTACAATATAGGCCCAGATCCAAAATTGTGACTCAGTATCATACTGGACAAAAATAATGCCAATGACCTGGGGATGCAGACCCCTAAGCAAACAAATTGGGGGGCATAGGGAAGCAGACATATTTATCAAAAAGATGATCTCCCTGAAGAGATATTAATCCTCCTGTAGCTGGCCCAGCATGCACAAGTCCCTATGTTCTACTTGGCAAGATGCAAGGTTTGAGCTCCACCCAAAGGGTGCTGATGAGTTGTTGCTCTATGCTGGGGTCTTAATGTCCCTCAATTTGCCCTAGAAGGTTTTGAAAATATGCATATTTAGGATTAGAGTGACCCATGGAAGCTATAATTCTTATTAAAATGGTTCCACACCATCAAATAAGTATTTTCAATCAATGAGGCAAAGACTGTATTTCTGGTCTTCTATAGAACCAAAACAGAGCTCAGAGCGCAGTCTGCTAGCTTCTGCTCGTCACTGCTACTGTTACTTCTAACTCCTGTCCTCCTGAGTGGTCTTCGGTTCTGCCAGGACAGCATCTAGAAGGAGTAATGTATGACACAAGGCTGGGAGGTTGTCACCTTTACAAAAGACCTATCTATGGCCGTGGAGGTGGTCCAGACAAGACAATTTATTCCCTGAAGTTAGCTGAAAGGTGTTGACACAAGGCTGGGAGGTTGTCACCTTTACAAAAGACCTATGGCCGTGGAGGTGGTCCAGACAAGACAATTTATTCCCTGAAGTTAGCTGAAAGGTGTTACGGGTACTACGGGTACTGGCTCCTATTTGTGCCATTTCAGAGTTCAAGTCAGGAGATTTGATTTCCTGTGTCCTATGATACCTTGGATTGCGATCTGAAGCAATGAAGATCCCTGGTGCATGAGGAGGGCTCCTCATACTTTTTGTGATGATTCATGGTCTTGATGATTTGTCTGTCACCTGCTCTGAATTCTGGCTCTGGGTCCAAATTAGACGAGCATCTTATATAGATTCCCCAGATTTATGAGCTATATTAGGAACTGGTGTCCTGCAACAGAGTGCTGCCTAGTTTCTTCGAATTCATTTATACTCTTACTTCGTGTGGGATCAGGAAATATGAGTGCCCATGGGGCATTCTCACAGAAACTTCAGTTGCTCATGAACCAGTGTTTTTAAATATCAGAGGTTATAACTAAGTGGAACGCACTACTCAGAGAAAGTTTCAATTCACCTTTGCACCAAAAGAGATAGAGAATCTGAGTAGTGCATCTGGGGAAACATCCAGAGGGCCAGTGGAAAAGAAAAACATCAACGTCATCTCAAGTAGAAAACGTGGGGCCCCATCAAGAAGTGTCAGTTAGGAACTGAGTAGTTTGTCCCTTGCTGGATTATAACATTTTTATGTCTTGGTCTTAAATGAACAAATTGAGTTATTAACTCCAGTGGTTAAGGCAACCTTCCTAACCGTGGTACTCTGACTACCGGAGGATTACACTACCTCTTAGAAGTTGGACTAACGTGCACGGATGCTATCTTTTGCCATTTTAATAATGTCTTTTTAAAATGAATTAGCTCTGCTGTACATGTACATGAACTCTTTGGGTGGGGAAATAGGAGTTTCTCCAGACTTTTAAATTTGTAATAAAGGCAATTTTTAAAAATAAAGTTTTGAATATCTGCATAGTAAAATAAAGTCCAAGTCAGAACAAAGGGCAAGTAAGAATACCAGAGACTCTGAGTTAACAATTAAAAAAAGAAGAAATCCTCCAGAAGAATACCAATCACAAAAAGGTGAGATTCTAAGTGAAACCTATCTGCTGAGTGCTTTTTACGATGAGAAAGAGAAAGCCAAAGGAATGAATAAATCCTGTACTAGGTTGGCCAAAGGTAGACAGACACTTTGCACAGCTATTTGCGTTCAGGGAAGGCTTTTTATCTATTTTTTTCTCCCCATTGTTGTCTTGCTCCCCACCCCCACAATCTGCGTGTGATCTTTCCCTAGCAGATCTAGGGAGCCAATCTGTTTTCCCAG